CTGTGCATTTCCTCCCCACCTTAAGTTAGGATGGTTCCTCCAACTGGGATTATATCTATTGGAAGATAAATCCCAACTTTGTTGTTGCTGTGGCTGCTGAAAAGGGAATTTATTAGCATAAATATTAGCAGCGTAAGCTTGAGGATTACCTTCCGAAGATTTAGTTTCTTGCAATGTGGGGCAACTATCAGTGTAGTGATCTGTAGATGAACAAATCCCACAAAGCATTGCTGGAATGGATGGAGGTGGAGGTGTATATGCAGCAGAATTCTTTTCGATGGATGCCAACTGTTTTACCATAGAAGCCAACTCATCTAGGTTATGCTCCAGCTTGTGTGAATCTGAAGTTTGAATCTCATTGACACTCCTGGACATGAGAGAATTTTGCCTTATAGCAAACTGTTGAGAGTTAGCTGCCATATTTTCAATGAGGTTTCTAGCGGCAGCGGGAGTCTTGTCAACTAGGGCTCCCCCACTAGCTGCGTCGATCATGCTCCTATCCATTGGGTGTAAGCCCTCATAAAAGTATTGGATTAGGAGCTGGTCACTGATAGCATGCATTATTTGTGCACATTTTCAATCCTTTAGAGTGTGTAAATTACCTTTCATGTTCCCTTATTTCACAAATTATGGCATTTCCTAGTTAATTGGATGATAGGAACTAAATTTCAATTAATGTCTAAATTCTGTTTTCAGACCTGCACTCATTGTTTTGATCGTAACTTTTTCCACAGATGTCCGTTTGGTTTGATTCCAGTTGTATTGGATTCCTCATTTTTTGGGCTATAAAATTCATGTCAGATCGTCCAAATTGAAGCTGTTTTCTATTTTCTATGAATTTTTGAAGTTAGGAAAATTGTGTAGGAATTTTTGTATTCGAATTTTGTTCTTGTAATTTCATTTCATTTGTATTAACATTTCATTAGCTTGTAATTTGGGCTGGTTAATCACACTTGTGGGCCCTTCTTTTTAGTGTTGGATCTGATCATAAGTGGTGCCTATTAATTTGTTAGAGGCTCCACTTTGCAAACGTTTTTTTTTGTTTTTGTTTTGACACAATTTTAAAATTCGGTTTTGGCTCCTAAAATTCTCTCTCGAATTCTCTCTCTTTTCTTGGTGTGACTTTTCGTTTTCTTCTCTCTTCTTGACTTGGCTAAGCATTGGATTCAATGGAAGGCTAGGCTTCTTGGATTGATACACAAGGAATAGGGAATTGCAAGGAAGATTCAAAGTGGCTCCAAGTTTGAATTCTCTTTTCTCCTCTTCTCTTTCGTTTTTCAAGATATTGATAACGTTTGGGGATAGGAATTGAATTGAATTGCGATTGTAGTTTGATTCATGAAATTGAATTAGATTGATGATGAATCCATATTTTTACTGATATTTTAGCATAATTCTAGCTCATTTAATAAGGAAAATATATGAAGAAAGCAAAAAAACTCAGAAAAAGAGAATGATTGAAAGTTTTATTTCAATTTGTAGTTATTTTCGCATTTGTAGAATTTATGCTTAGTTCTTAAGGAATATATCTTGTTTTTGAAGGAATAATCTGAGCAAAAGTCATGGAAATGGATTATCAATGGAAAGGAAGAGGAAGAATGGCAACTTTGGACTCCAAAATACAAGAATTATGGGATGCAGGCTGGGCGTGATCACTATTGTTAGTGAAAGTGATCATTCCAGAGCCTAAATGAGAAGAGGAGCCTGTGCGTAATCACTTTTATTTACAAGAGTGAGCATTGCCAGTGTGCGTTATCACTTTCGCCAACATAAGTGAACGTTCCAGAGAGACTTCATTCCTGATAAGCTGCGCGTTGTCACTTTCGCCAACGAAAGTGAGCGTTCCAGAGGCACTTGTATCAGGACAGCTTGCACGTGGTTACTATTACTCACGAAAGTGATCACACGCAGCCCTCGACCTCCTGCGTTGCCACTCTTATGAATTAAAGTGAATGTTCCAGAGAAGCCTTCAACTCTGCAAGTTGCGCGTGGTTACTCTTGCTCTTGAAAATGAACACGCGCACTACATAAAGCTTCTGCGTGGTTACTCTTATGAAGAAAAGTGACAACGCGCAGAACTGGGGTTTCTATAAATACATGATTGAAGCGCGAAACTAGGGGTCTTTTGCTCATTTTCTGTTTTGTTAGTTAGATTCTCGTTGAGAGAAAGTGGAGAGAAGATTGGGGTCGAAGCTTGAAGCTCCAAGAAGAGGGATCGGATTGGAGCTCATGGCCATAGCTGCTCTGCATTCTTCTTCATCTTCTTCTTCTTCTTTCTCTGTTTTTGTTGCAATGTGTGCTTAATTTCCCATAGTTAGGGGTTTATGGAACTCGAATTGATGTATTGATTCGACTTTATCTTCTGAACGTTAAGTTCTTGGATTAATTGAGTTGTTAATTCTGCTTTTCATGCAATCTTTGAATGAAAATTCATTTGATTAATCAAGAGGAATCTTTACCAATAGGAATTGGATTGTTTGCTCCGATCTGAATTGGCAACCAGAGTTTAGGGATTTCTTAGAGATAAAGAGACCTAATTCTGCAATCTTATAGTTCTAATTCTTAATGCAACCTGAAATTGAATCTCACCTAAGGGATTAGGGAGGTATAGTGGATTGTTAAGGTCAATGAGTTAAGGAATTAACCTTTGGCTAGGTATATGTGAAACTAATTGTCAATTATTCAATTGCTTGAATGTTCAGAGGATTTAATTGGATTGATATTGATATTCTTGTGAAGTAAATTCCTAACTATCCTTCATTGCTATTTTATTTCATCACAAATCTTATACTCTGTTTTTCTGCAAGTTCTTTACTTTTGATTGCTCTGATTATTGCTTTTATATGATACAACTCTTTTTCCAAATTCGTATGGCTCAAATGGTTATTTTTCTGTGAAGTGATAATTGAGTTCCTAATTCCCTATGGAGACGATACTCGGATCTTAAATTTACTCATTACTTGCTGCAATCCTTGTGCACTTGCTAGTGTTTAGATTGCAAACAACATCATTCATCCAAGTACTATTCTTACTCAAGCACACTTGGTAGGAGAGTTCTGATGGGATTCAATGCATAAGTGTTGATACTTGAATTTTACTGAGACATTAGGTTTTTCTAACTAGGAGGTAGAATGCCGAGAGATCAAATTTTACTACACTTATGATTTGGATAAAAAAATATAACTTGGATATCAATATAATCATGCAATGCTTGTGCAAATGTAGAAATAGAATTATATATATATTTTTTTTGCATAAAGTAAGCTCGAGAAGAAATTATATACATGTTATGTTTGTGATATGTTGGTTGTTACGATTCTACATTTATTTGATATTGTTTTGTATCATCTTGTATTGACTGTATTTTTTTTCTGCATAAAAACCTTTAAAATTATATTCCTTCACCTGTAAATATCTTTTTAATAGATTTTACTAGGTTATTGTACAATTTTCTAAGCTTATTGATAATTTTAAAGAGGTATTATTGACTAATTGATCAAATTCTCGAGAGAAAAATAACTTCTCTATACTCATTAAGCTTGACGTGTAAAAGAAAAGACTTAAAGCTTAATATTTTATTTTTAATTTAGAGCTTGACTCATTTGATCATTTTCTACATAAAACTTTGAATAAAACTACATTTAGTAATTTAAATTTAGTAAATATCTTTATTGTAAAAATTAAATTGAAGTAGTAATAAAATATAATTTTATTTAGAAGAAAACCCTTAAAAATTAAAATAAATTGATTATGTTTGTATTAACACAATGTCTCATTTCAACTAAGATTATATAGTCAGCATGCTCTTATAAGACTTAAGTAATCCTCTTTTCTTAAGGTAGCCTTTGAGAGTGAATTGCATTTTAATATGGTAGCTTTTGAGAGTGAATTACATTTTAATATAATATCAAAATCTCTCTACTTTAAATATTGTCGTTGCCCACAAATGTATTGACTAACATATTTTGTATACTAAATGTCTAATCTTTAAGTGTGAGAGTGTCTATAAAGATGTTTCACATGTACTAGTACATGAACAAATACTCGTTATAAATAAGACTTATTCTATTCTTCTTTCTTGAGTTAACTTGTGAAAGTGAGTTAGCATGTTTTATAACGCCTTTAATCATTTTTAATAAATTAAATCACTAATTATACTAAGAGTTATTTACTGTTTAAATAAATTAAAAATAAAACATAAAGTTGAATCATCTACTTTTATGCAAGTTGCGTTGAATAAGATCGAATTTGTATTAGATTAGAAATTTTATTCACATCAATCCAAACTAAATTACAATACATTTTATTGTTGAATCAGATGAGCTTTTGCCTAAAACTCAATCACATCAAATCCCAAACACTCTTAACTAGTGTTTCTCTACGTGATTATGTTGGCAATGCAGTATTATAACAGTCTCCTGATTAGAGTTGAAATTAAATATTCTAAATTTAATTGGGTTAGACAAAATTCAGAACAGTGGAACCTCGTGCGAAAATGGTTTTAACTAACTTAAAATGTATTGTAATTTAGTATTTTAACTTTAAATAAAAAGAAAATAGATATGGTTTGGATTTATAATCTATGCCACATTCATGTGCTTGTTAGAAGCTATCTGTGACCAGAAGAAAAAACATATTACATTGCTTAGGAACGTTAAACATCCAATAATACAATTCAGCTAAAAGAAATTAAACAAAATAAAGCACAAAAGCAAAAAATAAAATACTGAGAATGTAATGGAGAACTCGACATGTACTTAACAACTTAACTAGCCATATAACCAGTTCAGCTACATAAATGACACCATTAAACTTGATAAAAAAAATAAACTTATAAATATTTTTCCTCAAAAAATTAGTGTAATATTGTTTACACCACTACAAAAAAAAATAAAAAAATTACTAGAGATGATGCTTTTAGGTGTCTCTTTCACATTGGAATTATATTTTTGTCATACACGTATATGAAAAATATAAAAGTAAAAGATAAAGATAATGATAAACAATGTCAACTTTGGTGATTCATATATTAAACTATAAAATTATTCCCATCATCACTATAGAAAACCAGTAAGGAAGTTGTTAGAACTAGTAATTCAGTTCATTCAGTGTCACCATCCTTGAAGAACTTAAAAGATATTCGGTTTTGTAAAGACTACAGACCCTGTATCCCTCCTCCAAGTACAGTGCAAGAGTGAATTGCTAAATATTACAAATTAATAACAAAAGATTTTTATTTCGCAAGCACGGATGGTACCAAGCCACAGAAACAGTACTTAACCTCACTCCTGAATCTGAACAGGTTCAAAACCCCTCTCAATTGAAGCCTTCACAGCATCCAATACCAGTTGAGTTTTCCTACTAATTGTTGGCCACTTCTTCTCAGGTTTCGAGTTGTTGGAATTGATATCTGCCACCAAACGGGCAAACTCTCTTACCATAAGGACCTCCTGCGGGGTTTCATTTTTTATTATATGCGTGCTTGGTTGTGAACCCCACTTTGTCACAAGGTCATCAAAGCCTGATTCTGAAGCTGCATAAAATGTGGCCTCCTTCTCCTCATAAGGGATAATGAAGTCATGCACGTGAAGAGTTCCTTTTGTACCAACAGCAGTTATATCCATTGTCAAGTTGGACAAGAAGGAGCAATAGAAGGTTGCTACTTTCCCATCTTCCCAGTATATAGTAGCCCCACAAGACAATATCACCCCAGCTTGATTAAGCTCAGGCTTGGGCGAGGCTAACACAGTTTTAGGTAGTTCGTAGTTGGCAGCCCACAGGATTGCCCTAATACAATACCACCCTTCATCACCAAGAGAGCCAAGGGAATCAAGGTCTGGTTTCACACGAATGTCATTCTCAAGGAAATCGGCATCAGCAGCAAATGTAAAACAGGTGTGAATCTGTACAAGTCAGAAACGAACAGAGTATCAATGTAGAACATGAATGCAAAATACTGCATATCCTCTCCAATATTTTTACACGGCCAAGAGGCTAAGCAGCCTGAGTAATGCATTTTAACTAGTCTTTTCATTTAACGACTGCTATTTAAAGACCAAATCTTATGCACTATTACGTGGCATGCATCAGCAAAGATGTGAAGAAGCTTTTTATTTGGTTACAGGACTCATAAAATTAACTATCACAAATTTCATGAAGAAAATTAAAGAAACAGAACAATCCTTAAATGTAGACGGTCAACAAATTAAAAGAATTAGTATAATTAGAGCGAGCCAGAATGAGGAAGCAAATCAGGTTTAGATGAAAAAGTAAAACAGAGAAGGTATTAAATATCCAATTTAAAAAAAATTCAAAATAATTAACTGACCCATAGTTCTACTGCTTTGATTTTTATACCTACTTTCACCTTAGAATGGCTGGGGACAAAATTTGTTTGTAGCTCTGTATTATTGACTCTTAATTTTGAACCTGAATTATATTTAGGCCCTCTTTGGGTAAATTTTCCAAGAAGTCCTTATAGGAGAAAAAAATGGGTATAAAAAATAAATAAAACTTCTCTCATAAGTTATAAACAACTTATATTTTGCTATTTTTTTAAATGTTCTGAAAAGCTCTCTCATTTAGCTTATCTAAAATTTGAAGTTATAAGTTATTTTTAACTTGTGAGAAAAGTTTTATTCAGTTTTTATACCAAGTTTTTCTTCTACAAGGACTTCTCTACAATATCACCCAAACAAGACCTTAATATTCAAATCTCATGTATGGTCACAATACAGTTTAATTTTATGTTCACTAAATAATTTTTCTTTGCCTGAGCATGAAACTAATTTGGCACGTTGTACTCTTTAAGTTAAGGCCCAAACGGCCATGATTTCAACAAATAGACCATGAAGATGCACCAAAGGATACAAAATAGGCAAGCAATTACATGTTTCAACGAAAAGTGAAGTGGCAATCAAAAGACAATGAGAACACACAAAAAGGCTCTATTGTGACTAACTACATTTCAAAAGGTATACTTATCTTGATCACTCCCTACAAGTAAAGCAGAAGTCAAGATGAATCAGATTTAAGTAATGGAGTTGAAATTAAACCTAAACTTTTACTGTTTCAAAAAACTGACATAATAAAAATGAGAAAATTAAATACAAACTTCCCCAATTTAAACTTATATCTTTTGTTATAGACCCACTCACCCAAAGCTTGCGGCAAAAACTAATGAATGCCTGCTATAGATCACACACTCCTAACAAAAATGCATACACCCATTTAACTTGTATCAAAATTCAAATTTTCTTTGGGAGAGCGCAAGGATGAAAACAAAAGCTTGAAATGTTAAATGAAAGCTTATATTATATGAGAAGTGCTAGTAACACACTCCTAGTTATTGCCTAAAATTTATTAAAAACTACGAAAGTAAAAGAGAATCATTAAATTAGGAGTGAGACTGATAGGTTCAACACAAAACGAGGAGTTAATGACAAAAGACAAAGAGGGCAACGAGAAAGGGGGCTTAGGCATCTTTCTTACCTTGAATTGACGGATAGGAAGCAGAAAAGGCTTTGTTCATGGTTGTCAAAATCATGCTCCAACTTGTTGAAGCATACTATTCAATGTGTCGCAAGTTTCCCAATCAGTTGTGTGCCACTGTAACTCACAAATCTGCTTGGAACAGACTAAATTGTCATTCCAGAGCCTTGAATCATTAAAATAGTGCACCAAAAATTTATCAAATTGAGCTCCACATATGGGTCGGGTTGTGTGACCCATTATGCTAAAAAAAGCCATTTTTAATACTCTGTGAACCCAAAACTATGCAATTCAGCCAGAAAGAAATGTTCAACTCTGTGACTCTGTTCCCCCTCATATTCAACACTAAGCATCTTTCACTCATTTTCATCGCTAGTTTAGGGTTTTTGTGTTATTAATTTCTATCTTTGAGTTGTTGCACTGCTGCACCTGTATTCTCTTCCTTCTCTTTTCTTCTCCAGTTGTCCATTGTTGTGTGCAGCAGTTCTTTAGTGTTGTTTGTTGAAGTCACAATTAAACTATTATTTAGTATATATTTAAACCTTTTAGAGACTCTTTTAACTTTAATTTGTTTGATTTATTAGTTAAATATATAAAATAATTAATGTTTATGATTTTTACCTATATCATAAGTGAATTGAACTAATTTATACATTTTCATTGTTTATAGCACCAATTGGAATGAAAATTATGCTTGAAGAAGTCAAGAAGCACAGAGTCCAAGTGCTAGAAATTTCACTCTAGGTGTTCCAATGCCCAAAGTGTCTCAACACCAAGAAGTGGGTGTTCCAACGCCCAACAGCAGAAAGGCCAAAGTGTAGCAGACAACTGAACATTCAAATGCCCAGTAATGGGCAATTCAACGCTAGACAACAAACACATCAAGAAGTGTTTTTGAGCTGTGAGCATTCCAACACCCAATAATGGGATTTCCAATGCTAGAGAACCTGCAAAATTGCTGTTAGAAGACTTTCAAGTGTTTCAACGCTCATTCCAGTGTCTCAATGTCTAGCATGACTCCAAACTCTATCAATAGATGTCACTACTAAGGCCATTTTTAATATATAGAGTTCATTTTAGCAAATTTTAATTTCTGATTTTGTGTTTAAGAATTTCTCACTTCTTTTCTTTCAGTTTTCCTTTTATTTCTTAGAAATTTTGAAGATTTGTTTGTCTCAGAAACTTTATTATTTCTTTTATCTTTGTTTTGTTTTGTTTACTATCAATATGTGGGGCTAGTTTATTTTAGATCATCATAGGATGAATTTCCATTTGAATCTTCTATATTATCAATAAAATCTCATTCTTATTTTTCTCTTCTTTTGCAATTGATTGAATTGTTCTGATTTTAATGTTTTCTCTAGTTTGGCCAACTATAGGATGATTTTAGACTTAATTTTACGATTGAAAGATTGGTTATGAAGTCTGAAGTGAATGATTTAACAAAGTTGTTGTGATGTTGAGAAATTCACTCAATGATTCTACGGTCTTTTCAAGTTCTTGAACTATAATGCATGTTTTAATCTGGTTCGCCTAAGAATTAGGGAATTTTGGTTGATTTTGTAGGGAGTCGTCATCCAAAATATTGGAGTTGATTCTAAACTAGAGAACTCGATCTTTTTGGCTTGAGAATGAAGTATATAGGATAACTTTCAGTATAGTAGAGGAAAATAGAAATGATTTCAGTTCTAATTACTTTTGTTAATTGATTTTCTGTGAATTCTCTGTCTTGTTTCTATTTTTGTTCATGTAATTACAAAACACCAAAAATATTTTACTTCATATCTCCTTAAATTCTGCATAGCATGATATTCCTCGACATTACAAGCTTAGATAGAAGATCAAAAAGGACCTATTGGTAGTTTGACCCAATTCTCGTAGGAATGATACAAATATACTCATTAAAACAATTGGAGCACTTGTTAAGACTTATTTGCAGATAAGCAACAACACTGTTCTTGCAAAAAAAACAAGTTTGGGGGTGTTGGCTGCATTATAACTACTATTTTGTTTTACTCTTTAGTTTTATGCATTTATTTTGTTTAGTCAAAATTTATTTTATGTGACTTATGTTAAGACCTTATGAATCTTTATTATAAGTTTTATTAAATGTCTGTTGTGGTTTAAGGGGTATATTTCTGATTTATTCTATTTTTTTGCATGTATATGTGTGTTTAAATAGAATTCAGCATTTTAGTTAACTCCCGTGAGTCAAGTTACAATTCATCACTCCTACAATTCAACATCCCTCCACCATTCCAACCTTGAAAATCAATTTTGGCAACCTTGTTCATTAGTGTGTAGGCCCTATTATCCCTTACATCAATGTTCATACAAGCGGTTATGGGTATCTTTGGTTGATGAGGGTGATGGAGATAATGATGAGGAGTTTTTGGCAATAGAGACAAGGGAAGGTGATGGAGTGGATGGAGAGTATACCATGATCAGTTCAAGAACTTTATGTATTAAAATGGAGTAATAGCCCAAAAATGTGAAATTGAGATGAGAAATAAGGGGGCTACCTATTAATATTGGTGGATAGTGAGCTACTCAATTTCATCTCCAAGTCACTGGTGGCAGCAATGGGATGGCCTACAAAGAGAACCAAATGTACAAAAATTCTATTAAAATATTGCTATTAAGATGAGGTCAATGGAGTGTGTATAGGAATAAAGGTGGACATGAATCATGAAGAATTTTCAGTGGATGCTTATTTGTTTGATTTGGATGGGATTGACATGGTACTTGGCATATCTTGGTTGGCTTCATTGAGAGAAATGATAATAGATTGGAGGAAACAAGTGATCAAGTTTCAAATGACCCTTAACCCCAAGTTTCAAATATGGACAGTCTTCAATTTCATGTTTTTGGTTGTACTACCTTTGTCCACATTCATTGTCACCATCGTCAGACTTTTAACTGCATTTTCAAAGGGTATGATCCAAACAAAAAAGATAAATGTTATAATCTTCAAAACCACCAAGTCTATGTCTCTATGGATGTTCCCTTCACTAATACAAAGTCTTTTTACTCTACTCCTCAGCTTCAATGAGAGAATAGCTATTGAAGTCTCACATTGACTAAATAAGAGCTTATAAATGTTACAACAATCCTCACTTTACAAGGTAGCTTTTGGGGTTGACTCAGACTTGAAGCCAAAATTCAAAAGTAACCCAAAAGTATAGTCCATTGATTTTCATGAGTCCTCAGAATCTGGTATTGTATATCTCAATTTGTACCATCTAAATATCTCAATTTGCACCAGAGTTTTATCTAAGCCACAAATTTTGTCAATATCCCCAAGTCAAAAAAGAGATTTGAAGAATGAAAAATTGGTTTAAAGTCATGAATGAAGATATGAGCCCATTAGAGAAAATTGCAACTTGGTAGTAGTAGAAAAACCTAAAAGCAA